CCTCCTCTGGACACATCTCTGGAGCACGGCCCGGCGGCTATCGCAGCAGCACTGGGATGTACCCATCAAGGGGGGGGATCCGTGAGGCGAAGAGTCCCCCTGCATCCCACAAGCTCCACGCGGGCACCCCACAGGTCACCTGTTGATGCTCCACTCGGGATCGATCTTCTGGATGGTGGGGTCCTCCGTGTAGTTGTACTTCACCTCCGGGTTGCTCAGCTCTGCCCGGTTGATGTTGATGAGGATGGGGGAGCCGCCGGGGGTGTGCCCAGGGGGGGTCCTGCACCCAGGGTGCTGAAGAGAGAAAGGAGGAAAAAAAAAAATTAAAAAACACTACAAGAAATGAAACAAAAGGCAGCCAGGAAAGGCTGAGCAGCTCCTGAGCGTTCCCATCGCGCGGCTGCTGCAAACAGCAGCGATTAGGGCTGATAACCAGTAATTACCACAGGAAAATATTTAAAGAGCCGCTCCATTATCATCCCTAATCTAAAAATTATCCACTTCATGCCTCAGGGCTTTGTGCTTTTAGAGAAAAATCTACGTTCTTTGGGCTCTTCCTGCAGCCCCTGACACACAGAGGTTTCAGGGGGAGACACCTCCATCCACCCATGGGGTTTGGCACCCGGGGTCCCTCCTGGCTCCCCAGCGTGGGCTCCTAGCCGCTGCTCTATCTGGGGGTCCCGCTGCCTCCGGAGGTGCCCGTCACTCATCCTCCAACACCCTCCAAGCCCCTCACCATGAAAAAGCGCAGCGCCGTCCCCCGATGGTCACAGAGACGTTGCTGCCAGCGTTGAGGTGGCTGCCTTCGATGGCGATCCAGGTGCCACCGGAGAGAGGACCCCGGGCTGGGACCACACGGGAGAAAGTGGGCGTCTGTCAAAGCAAAAGAGCATCCCTGGTGTCAGCCGGACTGGTGACCAAAACCTGCGTCCCCAGGCAGCCCCGAGTGGCTGACAGGGCTGCAGAGGAGAGGGACCCGTGGAACAGTGGAAGTCTTGGAGAAATTCAACCAGCATGACTCAGCACCTGCCCAGAGCATCCCCGTCTGCCTCCCAGGAAAATGATGGCCGATTTTCCAACTCACCCAGAAAACCACCCAAAACCACCCGGCATCACCTCCCTCCAGCAGTGCCACATCAGTCCCCCGACACGGGGCTTACCACGAAGGTGAAGCTCTTGGGGGACGTGGCCCGGTAGCTGGGCGAGCAGTCACGGATGCACACTTCTACCCGTGCCTCGTGGACCTTGCTTGGGCTGGCATCTCCGATTTCGCACACAATCCTACGGGATGTGGGGAAGGAGCCCTCAGTGTCCCAGCACTGAGATGCTCCCTGTGCCATGGTGGGGATGGACCAGCTTCAGAAAGGGGCAGATCTGGTGCCAAGCAAGGGTCCCAGATGTCAGCAGCGTTCATGAGAAGCCAAGGCAGTGGGTTGTTGGCCCTGGGGGCAGCTCCCCCAAAGCCTTTGGGCTCCTCCCAGAGTGACCACAACCAGCAGGTACTTCTCTCCCAGTCTGGCCCAGTCAGCCCCACGTCTTCTGCAGCCATGGGCAGCCCTGACCCTCACATACCAAGGTGACCTGGAGCACACCCACCCCTCGCCAGGCACTTACTGCTCAGCGCTGATGTACTCGCTCTCGATGGGGATGCACAACACTTTGCCGACTCGAACACCCCAGCGAACATCTTCAAACTTCAGGCCCAGGTTCTCGCCGGTGATGGTCAGACGGGTACCTCCTTGCCTGGGGCCGGTCTCGGGGGACAGCTAGGAGGGAGCACAGCCCATCAGCCGAGGGAATGGAGCTGCGAGGACGCCTCGCTCGGGCAAGCTGCAGCCCGGGCAGGGTTACTACCCCCTGAGCAGCGAGAAGCAGACGGGTGATGATAAACACCAGAGCGTCTGCAAGGAGCCCACAGAGTGGGAAAGACCTCTCAAATGACAGCCACATCCACAAGCCCCCCTAGGAACAAGCCTGGAGATGCCAGATGTGTCCAAGCAGAGGGCTGGGACTTGGACAACCCATTGCAGATGGAGCCGCCTTGCAGGTGACAAGGACACGGATGGGAAGGAGAGAAGGCAGCGTCAGCCACGGCTACAGCTGAGCCGGCAAGGAAGCACATGAATCTGCGTCCCACGTACCCAGGGATGAGGTCCCCATGTCCAACACGTCCTCAAAGCATCTCCACCAGGTTCCTGCACACAGCAGGCAGTGAGGAGAAGGGTTCCTCTCTGCCAGCAAACCCTGTGCCAAGGCTGGCTGGGAAGGGAGGGCACCTCACGCCGGCGCTGCGCCTCATTTACCAGGATGATGCCCATTAAAGCGGGCAGGTGTGGCCTGGCAGACGGCGCGGGATGAGGGATGAGCGCAGGCACGGGCCCACTGCTTCCTCCAGCCAGGCAATTACGGGCGGTTTTACACCAGCGCTCGCCAGCCCCGGGGCCCAGCGCCCACCTGCAGCACTAACCGGGATGGACGGCAGGGCTGCACGCCCCGGTGGGACGGGGACAGAGCAGGGCAAGAGGCAGCTTCAGGCAGCAGGCGAGGGAGAGACGCAGGCTGGGTCAGTCTGGGGAGAAGGTGTATCCTGACCCAGGAAAAGGGACTGTTTCGTTGGAGGTGATGCCCTCCTCTGCCCGTGCTCCCGCAGCACCAGGAGGCATCTCTGCCAGCACCGAGCCCAGCGCCAGGACAGGCTCATGCTACGGTCACGCTCACGCTGCGACTAAGCACGTACGAGCTCTTTGCATTCCTGGCAACTCTGAGCGGCTGCAACCCGGGGGCCTGAGCCAGCTGGAGCCTCCTCCTCCTCCTCATGCAGGGCTAGTCCTGGATGCCACCCCCGCAGAGAGGAAAGGGGACGAGCAGAGGGTGGGAACCATGCAGCAGCGAACATTGTCCACATCCTCAGCCCTGATGGACTGCACAGAGCTGGGGGCTGTTCCCGCAGGGCCTCACCGCAGCCATCCCCTCTCTGGGGTTAACCACCACCCTCTGGATTCACACCGGGCTGACCATCTTCATCGTGCTCGAACAGGGGCAGCCGGTCCCCCCAGGACAAGTCCCAGGGCAGCAGCAGAGCTAGGACCAGCTGGGGCCACAGCTCCCGCCAAGGCAGCCAAAACTCACAATTTACACAGCAACAAAACTCTCCGGGGCTGCGGGGAACTGCTGTTTGCCTAAACCCAGCTTAGCCCCTGCCCAAGTCCGAGATCGGAGCTTGTTATGGCAGTTATGGCAGCTGCTGCCAGCATCAGGCTGGGTCTTCCCCCAAAATCCAGCTCCACCGGGATGTCTGACAAGAAATGGCTTTTTGTTTGGTGTTTCTAAATGAGCGTTAAAAGCTGCTCCGGCATGTTCGATTCCTCCTCCTCCACGGCAAAGCTGACAAGGGCCACGTGTTTGGGGAGAAACGAGCCCGGGAATGAACTGACATCGTTGGCTGCCCAGCACGGGGAGGTCACAGCTAAACAAGGCACGCGGGAGCAGGGAGCTGGTAAGGAGAGCAGGGGCTGCTCCAGCCTCCCTCTTCCCCCCTCCACCTCCGAACTCCTGGCCCTGACGAACACCAACACTCTTCTGCTAACTGGTTTCACAGGGTCCTCTTACAACAACAAGAAAGCGGCACCGCTGGGTGCAAGCAGTGGGCTCAAGCCCGGCTCCGGCGGCCGCAGGGGAAGGGATATCGCTCTGAGGGTCACAGCCAGCACCAGGCAGGACCCCGCAGAGGTCTGGAGGGGGCTTGTCCCTACCACCGAGCGATGGGCTCACCCATGGGCTTGACCCATGGTCATCTCCCAGCCAAGCCCCACCACCTGTGAAGATGCCTGCACCTGGCTGGCTGGGTTGGAAGGAGGCTCCAGGTCATCCCAAACTCACTGCAGGAGACTCCCTTTTTCCCCCACCACCCCAAGCTGCCCTCTCCATGCCAGGCTGCTCTCTGGACCATTTCCAAGCCTGCTTGATGCCCAGGTACGGGACAGGGGTTGTGGGAAGCAGCAGGTGAGCATCACACCAACAGCTACGTACATCCACACCGACCACCACCTCCCAGGGCACTAATGCAGAGCGGCACTGAGGTCAAGTCCACCAACTAACAGATCCATTTCTGCTGTACCTGCAATCGCTGCAAAATTTTACAATGACTCAGGGCAAGACAGCTGCTGCGGAGGCTGGACACCATCAGCTGCTGGGAAGCTGCTGTGAGAAGTGTAGATGCCTGCAGCCCTGGCCACACAAGCGCAGGAGGACAGGGCACAGCCTATAGCAAGGCCACCCTGGGCATGATCCGGCCACTGTGGTCTCCGCTCCCACCAACCCAGGGGGGAAGTTCAGCCTGGGCAGGGTGGGAAGCCTGCGGGGACGGGGAGCCCCGCAGCCCCGCACACAGCAGCAGTCATCCTCGTAGGGACGCAGGCTCTGGGGCTCAACCCCGCTCGCCCAGGAACAGATCCCTTCTCCTGCCAGCGCTGTGACAGCCCCAGGCAGCTCTCTGCAGGCAGCACTTCTCGCGGCGA